ACCCAGAAAATTAAAGTCAAACTGAGTTGATTTCACGTCTAGATTATTTGGTTTATATTTTTAGTTTCATTCAATTCATGCTACGAAGCGACGAATATTATCCATTACTATGGGTAATATTTATTTCCCGTTTAATATAAGAATAATGAGAATTTCAATGGTTGAGATCATGAGTCAGTTGAAGCTAGAACACCATGGAAAATCTGGAAGCACTGGACGGCCGTTTCGTCCTATTGTGGAACACTTCAGCAGTGCGCATCCACGACCTCGCCCTTTGCGAGATTCGAACCCAGGACCTACTGGTTTCGCGCGCGAGCACTTAACCACTAGATCACTGAGCCTGCATCCAATGGTGTTAATTTCTAACTTCAACTAATCCACAAAATTTAGCGACATATCCACCAACGGCCGTCCAATGCTTCCAGGTTTTCCATGGTGGTCTAGCTTCAAGTGACTCATGATCTTAACCATCGAAGTTATTATTATTTATTTAGTTTTGTTATATTCGTTAAGTAATACGTTTGTATTGTTCTAAAACAAGTATTAATACTGCATAGCATTGAACATTAGTATATACATTTTAAAATTATTCCCATCTTTTTTTAATTATTTTATAACTATAATCAAAGACAGAAAATGGAACATGTAATATTAGATCATTAAAGTCGGAAATACGGATCATGAAATTCTGATTAGATCGCCTTAAATTTGTTCTACCTTTGGATCATTGAAGAGTCATGAATGTACACTGATAAGAAATTTCAATATACAAAGAAAATATCACATGATAAATTCAGTTAAATTATTAATTTACACTTTGACTAATTAAGAGACATTGCATAGAACAACTTAGAAAGAATATATAATCGAATAAAAATAGTCAGTCAGTCATCTACAATGTAGGACCAGGCACATATATGCATCGGTTCAAGTTGCCATACCTCATTAACACAACAAGATGGACACCAGATTCATAAAAATAGTTAATTCAGAGGTGGTAATATATAAAAGAAAGATTGCAATAAGGATATAGTACAGGAAGGAAGAATTAGTTCGTAGAAAGAAAGATATGAAGCAATTTTAATCTCTTAGTTTAAAGGAAGATAGAGAGTGTATACACCGACAATTAAAAAAAAGTACTTTGTAGAAATTGTATCCATGACTAGTATCCAAATTAAAATGTGATATCCATTGATGGTTGAAAAAAATATTGAATAGTTGTTTTCTTATGAATATGAAAACTAGTAAACATATAAATTAATCTTACAACAGTTTGAATAGTATAAGTATTTAACAACAATAAAATTGCCTGAAATATGAATCGTTGTAGCAACTTTTTGTTTTTGTTTTTTTAAACTAGACAACAGTTGTTCATATGGTTTTCGTTCCAAGTAGAAAAAGAAAAACGGAGAGAGACAGAGAGAGTAATAGAAAGAATGTAAAAAATGCAACTGAAATGAGAAAACTATTTTAAATTCATTACTAATTTAATGATACAATAGGTGATAATATTTATATCCCGTAAGGGTAAACATTTTAAACATTGAAAATAGTTTTATTTTATTGTTGACACAGTTTAAAATCTAATGAACTATTGGTCGAGTTTTGTAAATAGTTATTGAATGACAAATTTAAATTCATAATGTTCTATCTCTAAGATTGATGATTATATTCTATATTTATGGATAGAATTAAATCAAAACTGAGAACATTTCAACCTGGAATACTGGCGGCCTGTTTAAATATCTAAACTACCGGTTTCTGTCATCTAGATATTTCAACAAGTTATCTGTTTTTCATTTGTTTTGACACATCATTGTATCTAGTATTCTCATAACCTATTCAGGTGTCTTTATGAAAAGTTCACGACCTTTCGCTATACAAGTTACAAAAAAGTACAATCAGAAGCATCGTGGTGTCTGGCAATAGTCACTGAAATGAATGAATATCATTTAATTGTTGATTCCTGAAATACTAACATGTAACTGGTGATCACTCAATATTTATTGTCAGGATTGATCAAGAAATAAGAAAAAGAAACTTGTTGGAGTACTTTGTGCTGAGAATTCATATTGTATCAAAAATATAATATTAAGCAAATTCATTAATAATAGTTAGTGTGAACTCTACCAGTTAATTGTTAATTATAACATAGGCTTAAGTAAATCTGATGAGACTATAACATATGGACGCTCTTTGAGCGATGCTAAAGTGACCTTAAGAAAGTCCACTTACTAATTAGGACTAAATAAGGATTAAAAAGCAGTGTGAGGAATCAGAATTATGATTAACAGTTGGTGATTACGGTTAAAAATTAGATTTAGGGCTTTCATCACCAACTGAAATAAGCTAAAATGCCAAAATACTATTTATATAAATAGATGAATGAATTTCGAGCCAAAATCCAAAACCTGTTATCCTAAATCTGATTGGTTCGTCCATAACTTATAGTCTCGCCGTAAATCTAGCTGAAATCTGAGAATATAACGCAAGTAAGTTCATTGTCCGAAAACACATTTCAATCATTTGAGGAATTTATTTAATATCCACCCCTGAACCTACTATATTTGACCTGATTATTTTACATATTACGCAATTTCCGATTTGTAATCACAATATTCTCTCGCTCTCTCTCTCTTACCCCATGTTGACCATATTTATTCTGATAATTTATCTCACAATTTCATTTCGCTTATAAACCGTTTCAAGTTAACACTTCATATTAGTCCGCCCCAACATTAACGATTTTATTTTTATATAACAAACAATTCCTGATTCACATATTACCATTTCCAAATGATGATGTATTTTGCCTTAAATCTGGCCAATTTTATGGATTATTAATCTGGATTTATAATTGTAGAACCTGATGAGAAATTATTGAAAAGAATATTCTTCGTTCATACAATTGCATTTTTAATTAGAAAAGTATAAAAAAATTTCTGATTGCTCAGTGTCGGGTTTTATAAAATGACCAAGATAAAATCGTCAGAATGTAAACTATTGAATAAATGTATAAATGTTGATAGAAAATATTAAAAATTATATAGCACTGCCCCGATTCGATTTACATTTGAATAATTCAGTAAACAGTATATATGCAACAAAATATGAACATTTGAATCCATGCATAAATACTACCATTTGAAGAATGTACATAAATTCTACCATCTTATCTCTACATAGTGCACACATTTTCGAGTCACCTAAACTGGTGGCCACATTGCAACTTGATCGATAGGATTCTATCTGCACTCAGAATGATCTGACATACATGACATTGATCACCATCCAGTGGTCAATCAATTGTAAATAAATTCCTTTGTCATTTCATTAGGTATAGATTTCCTGTAACTAAAATTCATCAGAATTAAATCATAAAATTCTATATGAATATATACCATTTGTTTAGATATCGAGTAAGATCTCAACAACATATGCTTATATTTTACAAGTGACTATAACAAAAATGTCTAGGTGTACATTATAATTATTTCCTTCTTTACATTTATTTTGCCCTAAGCTATGTCTACATGCAAAGATACAATTAATAGTAAAGCATTTAACATTGATAATATCATAATATAGTGATGAACATTTCATTATTCAAATATTAAAGAAACTTATACAAGTAACTACCATTTGGAAAAGAAATACAAACAAAATATTGAACAGATGTTTGACTACTACGAAAACTACTCATTATTCACTACCCTCGGTGTAAGATCTAAATTCAATTTTAGGATTAAAAAACAAACAAACATTTTCTTCGTCAAAAACTAGATGATATACACGTTATATTTATTAGTTTACATGCAATTTAGTTCAGAAAGCATAGTTCTTATTACTTGAAATTGATCTAAGTGTTGTCTTTTATCCTAATTCTGATGTCGATACTGTAACCCTTAAACCAGTACCCGTTGTATTATGTGTCAATTCTTTATCCACTAAACTGTCTAACTAGCACAGTCATAGACCTGTCAGATGGATAAGATTATCATTATTGGTTGTAAAAGTTTAACAAAAGTTAATCAAACTGATTATTATATATTCAAAAACGGAAAGTATAAACCTTTACAATTAATAAAGTTACATGGTATAATGTAACCGAGAGAAAAACCCGTGCCAATTGATTCAATTACTGGTAGAAAATATAGGACCCGTTTTAAAAACGTATCAGTGCAAAATACCATACATTATAGTAGAATAAACGGAAGTTAAAGTAATTTAATAGTATGATACATTTAGTCGAAAAGCTAGCCACAAGAAGTAGATATGATACTATAATAAGGATTAAGTGAAAGGTAGCCAGTGCTCTGAAGTTTACTGCTGAGATCGAAGTACGAGGATAGCAACCTTTCTTTTCAAATGTAGGTATGTTTACGTTACATTCTTTGAAGCTGAAGTTTTGTTCATTATAAACATAGTGAATATCAACGTCCAGTGATTTCGTAAAATAATGCCGTCTTCGGCTTGCGGTAACTTATATCCATACTATCTTCGATATAAGATCAGAGTAGGAGCTTTCTGAATTACATAATCGTAGAGTCTATTCACTTAAATCCGTGACGTTTTACCCCCATACCAAACAATTTACTTATTTCACTTAAAATCTAGTGATCAGATGACTACTCACTTATTCGTTATAGAAAATAACTAAAAACTCTTAACCCGTGCTTACTTTTTGTTTCGTGGGCTATGGCTTACACGGGACTGTTTTATAGTAGAGTAACCGTTCAGGAAGTTGGGAGAATATCTCAACGGACTCATGGTAGTTTGAATTGATAAAACTACTTGTTACTAGTGAATATAACTTAGATAAGTTAATATGAGAATAATAAAACAAATTCATATATCACCTACAATATATTATGACAATATGAAAGTATAAAAACATTTCACCAATTCTGTCTAGACAAAATCATTTTTATAGGATCAGCTGCAGTTTCCCGTAACATGTACATTTAACATCATTAACTTAATACAATATGAATACTTACTTATTCCATCTGACAAAACTGATGTGTATGCTGTTTGAGTGACATTTCTTATAATCGGTTTAGATGGAGGTCGTGAATTCGCGTCTGTATCTACTCTATTCGAACTAGTATATAATACATCGATTGGTCCAATCAGGCGATGTGACACTTGATAACCTCGTATATCACCATGTGTTCTTTCAGGTGGATCCCATGCTAGTTCTAATATTGCATAATCTGCTTTTGGATCACTTGCACCGGGTGGAGTAGCTCTTCTTAATTGATTTAAACGTAAATTGCGTGGAGCAGAAGGAACTTGAAAACAAATTGAAGGATCCAAAAAACATGGATTAGAATTAAGAATAAATGGTATGCCCAGATTTTCAGGGCTCTGTTGAATTGAATACATCACTTGTAATAAATAAACAACGGTTATATAAATTTTAGCATACACTATACACGTTTGCATATTGTTCCCGAGTAATTGTAATGAAATTACACAAATATGTTAATCAATTCATTTCTTTATGCTTTTTTTGTTTATTTGTTGATTTTGATAAAAAGTAATACGAACTAATTCCAAATATTGTCAATCAACAATAATCATTCATTTGAAAAACTACCATGTAAACTGATATGTATTGATGACCTTCATCTTGTTTTATTTTTATCCAATGAAATTATTCGAATTTTACACCAATCGAATTACAACAATCTACTTGACCAATGTTTGCTTTTATAATGTTATTTATAATAATGTTGTATAGAAAAATTCGGCAACTAGTCAAATACAAATTTTCAAGAATTCTCAATTAAATTTTTTATAATTCTATTGAAATATTATATTAGGTACAAGTTCTTTCGTTAATTCATTCAGTTCTATTAGTAATTAATCTTGTACTTATTTGATATATTCCAAGGTTCAAAAGAGTTTTTTCAGAACAACAATGTTAACAATTGAGTTGGAATAAGTATAAGTAATCATAGATTTCATAAGAAGTAGATGATATTTCAAGACAAAGAATATTAATATGATGAAGTAGATGATTCTATGAAAATAAATTTATCAAAATTTTAAATATTTTTCAATGGTTACTGTGTATGTAGGCGTAGCTTGAGTTTGAGTGTTCAAAATATCGTAGTAATACAATAGTATCACTAGTTAGTATCACGTCTTATTGCTTATAGTTCTAAATGAACTCAGTAAATATGATATACGATGACACCATTATTCTTAGGAGACTCAGTTTTGTCGTGTTTAACCAGTTGAAATTTAAGACACCATTTAGCTAATAAATATTACCATATTATAAAATACTTATGACATTTCTTATTTGTATAAAAATTCAACGAATTATCACATAACACAAATATTTTCAATAGAAACCAATTCCTTAATTTTAAATGAGATTATCAGAATGATGGGGAGAAATATGTATTCCGCCACAAAGTCAAACCAATATCCGATTTCGAAGGTTTCTTGAAGTTTTCATGATAAGTACATAAGATTAGATAAACAATTTTTATTAGATTACACTTTAAAATGATTGGGATATCACAGATACAAAATTTTTAGTGTTCAACCTATCGGTTTTTATGAAACAGTATATACTGAGAACAATGTAACCTTGTTTAACAACTGCACGTTTATATGCTTAGATTCAAACTATATATTTTGTTTGTAGGGCCAACTGACTTTTTTTGAGGGGCTTCGTTGAAGCAGGTAGAACAGAGTTGAAACCTTCTACCTATAACCAGAAAGCCAAGTAAGCATTAGCAAGTTAGAAATACCTTCTTGGACTGTGTAAAATCCACATAGATGAAACGAATAAAATAAAGTATCGAGAAAAATAAAAAAAAGTTATTACTGATGATAACTGATAGGCCACTATACATTTGGTGAATTTTTCTATTGGATTCTGAAACCTTAAAGAATTAGGTATAAGTGATTACATCTTCAGAACTGCTAGCTGTTATATCTTAGAGAAGATTAAATTATGGGTAAATTCTGAGATCCATTAATGCAGTAATATTATATATATATATTCTTATTGTATAACTATTCAGTAACTAGCTTATGTATATCTGTATTCCTCTTAATATAAACTTCATTTTGACCCATAGATTATTATTATATATTAAATTATACTCAGTTCATTAGTTATAGTCTCCCATGTTCACAGTCAGCTTTTGGCTTGGTCTTGTATAAATCTTATTTCTTATTTGATGGTGTGATACGGTCTGTTTGGCTGGTATATAAATTAAGTACGTTTGAAATAAATAATTTGCATAGTGGAAGCTGTTATTGGCGTTCTCGACTCAACTGGAAGGGCTAGGAGAACATAGAACCAATAAGGACGTAAGGCTGCTCATACCCGTCTAACGTCATTGGTTTAGTACAGTACTAAGATTGTACAAGTCTCATTTCGATTGGCGAATAAATCACGTGATAATTAGCCGGGCTTAAAGTCACAACACTAGTTACCATCATCTCTGCATATATTGGCTATGCGTTTGTTTGATGATTATATTTTACTAGAAAAACAATCTATAGATTAATGTCCGTAAAATAGATCGATGTATCCATGTTAATATTGTCGTAACTACAAAAGTTTTAACAACAGTTAACTATGCATAAAATAAAGAAATTTGAATATAAGTAACCGAATTAAAAATTGAATCGATTATTTTTTGAAAAGTGTATATTTGTTTGAGTGGAAATTAGTTTTTCCCCCTCACTTAGCGAAACATTTAGTTTCCATTTTTTTCCCATTTAAAATCTAAAATTAATAATGATTACTCTTCGTTTTTTCATTTACTTCAACTTCACTAACGTTTACGAAATAATGCCGTATAGAAACAGGGTTGTATTATTTAGAAGAATGAATTGATTACTTTCTGAAGTGCTCAATTGGTTTAATTAGACTCAATTAAAATCAACATTTTTATGAAAGAATGAAAAATAGTAAACCAAGTTACAATCTAAAAATATGCCTAAAATCATTATATTGTTTCATTTTTCCCAAAGATACATACAGAAATCGTCAGACTATTACCCAATGATCTAGAAGTTAAGTAGTCATGATTTATTCCAGTATTGGTGGATACAATCTGCTGTTGAGTCAAAGTTATAAACTACTAAAATCTCTCAAATATAATTCAGTTAAACATTTATTATTTGCTAGTTATTATTAATCTATTACTTTAATCGTGATTCACTTGGGAAATAAATAATTTGTAATTAACCATAAAAATTATTGAATTATCTACACCACAATCTAAATGAATGACATTATTATTACTAGTAGTTCTCTTTTTCTTCTGTTTAAAATTTAAACGTTCGATCCTATGTTGATAAATGAATAAATGAAAAGAAAGTTTTATGGAGATTTTAGTAATTTTATATTTGAATTTATCATTCAGTTGAAGCTAGAACACTATGGCATACCTGGAAGCACTGGATGGCCATTTCGTCCTATTGTAGGACTCCTCAACAGTGCCTTTGTTTTAATTATTCTACTTATCGATTTTTATTATCTCAAACTAAGTAATTGGATTCTATACATTCGAATGTATCTTATTATGCAGAACATTATTCAATTGAGTAATAAATAGTCACATCATTTTTGTAATGGAATTGTATGTTTATTAGTGAAAAATTCTGCATCAATATTTGTTAATGAAGATAAGAAGTTATAAACACATATTTATCTTTGTATTGGATAGTACTCAACAACTAGTTTGCATTGAAATTATAAATTAATGGTTAAGATCTCTTTTCCAAAGGTTGAACACTGGTTATCTGATTAGATTATTTGTTTTGTATAATAATTTATATTTAAGATATTGTGTAATATAGTGAATTTTTACTTTAATTCAATTCGTCATGAATTGAGCACAGTTAACGAGAAATTAAGAGACTTTAAATGTATATGGGCTCTATATGTGATAACTGTTCAACAACAACAACAATTTCAGTGATAAATTTTGCTGAAAGTAAGTAAGTCCAAAACCTATTAGTAACAACAACAGATTTTTTTAGCTTATATAAAGTTCTCAAATTTTCATTTGGTGATGACCTCAATACATACTAAACAAGCATACTGAGTTATAAGTAATTTTTTTCGAAATAGCTTAATGATATTCCTCTATTTATAGAACATTGTATATTAAATTATGATAGAGAGATGGTATAAAGAAATAGTGAGAGAAAAAATGATCAAATAGTATTCACTTTCGAAAATAATAAAATTTAAATTTCTTTCAGTGTTCTCATTCAGTAAACTGTTGAGTTTGTTTTCAGTTTCAGAGCCGTGTAACTGATATTTTTTTATTGAGATCATGAATCGATTGATGTTAGATCATCATTGAAAATCTGGAAGTACTAATATGTAAAGTAAGACATTAACACCATTAGATTTCGGCTCAGTTGTCTAGAGTTTAGACATTCGGCCGCGAGACCGAGGGTCCTATGTTTGAGTTTCAAGTGCAGGATCGTAAATGCGCACTACTGAGGTGTCCAATACTAGGATGAAACGGTCATTTATTGCTTCCAGGTTTTAAACGGTAGTTTAACATCAATCAATTCATGAACTCAATCAAAAAACTTAACAATCTCCTCAGCTCCATACTGATAATAAATGATAATTAACAAATATAACATTACCATGTGATTATGAAAAACTGATAGACATTTTTCTTAATATTAACAAAATAGACTTTTTATATTCATAAGAGATTTCACTGAATATTTTACTTTCTAAACCAAAATTTATGGTATGATTTCCATGACTTCTGAGAATTAAATTTTAAAAAAGACTTCAACGCTTTTATCTTCAAGACATCATACAGTTCATTTGAAATCTTTATTTATTATTCTTTTATATTAAACTCATTAAATAAATGAAAGTATTCCTTAATAGACCCAATTTTATATTCACTATTCAACGTAGATCTTTATAGTGAATAATTTTTTTATATTTTAACACTCCAGTACTGTCGATTCTAATGAAAATGATTAACAATATATATAATGTATAGGAGCCAGCTATAAGGAAAAAAATCATTTTTAATTAAAAGCTTGTTCATCAAATCAAGTCAGATAAACTAGAGTGGGTATATCTCATAGGTAATCAAGTGCTCTATTCGAGATAATTACACCATAAATTTAAACTTCCAAACTTATTTAAGTGATAACTTCAATAGTTGGGATCATGAGTCAATTGAAGCTAGACCACCATGGAAAATTTGGAAGCACTGGATGGCCGTTTCGTCCTATTGTGGGACTCCCAAGTAGTGCACATCCACGACCCCATCTCTCGGGAATCGAACCCAGGACTTGTCAGTCTCGCGCGCGAGTGCTTATTCATTAGACCACTGAGCCGGCATGCTACGGTGTTAATGTATAACTTCAACTAATCCACGAAATTGAACGATACATCCACCAATGGATAACTAGTTTTAACTAGTCCTAATGCACTAACATCAGATTATAAGTTGCACAAATACAATATAACATAATCTATAATGTAAACAGCCTTATTAATTATTATCATGTCAAATAGAGATTAATACTGAACTTGATCAATCATTACTGTTTATAAATTTGT